CAACTGTTCATAAATACTTGTATCTTCTGTATGATGGCTTTGGTAGTTCTCCATGTTTCCGCTCCATACAGTAGAACCGTCTACGCAGTTGTATTGAAAATCCTGATTTTGGTGTTGGTTGAAAGTTGTTTGGAGTTCCAGATATTTTTCAATTGTAGAAATGCAGCCCTTGCTTTCCCGATCCGCGCCTTCACATCTGCATCAGATCAAACTTGCTCGTCAATAATGTTGCCTAGACATGTAGAGGCTTTCTATCCCCTAAGGCATTTCCATCAAGAGTGATTTGGTTGACGGATGTTGTGTTGTATCGTAGAATCTTGCTTTTCCCTTTATGTATGTTGAGACCTACTGCTGCTGAGGCTGCTGCTACACTGGTCGTCTTCTCTTGCATTTGTTGTTGCGTGTGAGATAGAAGAGCCAGATCATCTGCGAAGTCCAGCTGCGTTCTAGCTGTCCACTGAATACCGTGCTTCCCTCCAGATGCTAACGTCTTCATAATCCAGTCGGTCACCAGAAGAAAGAGAAAGGGTGAGAGTAAGCAATCTTGCCTGACACCGGTCTTCACCGCAAATGAGTTTGTCAGTTGACCTCCGTGCACGATTTCGCAGGTTAATCCATCATAAGAATTCCGTATGATGTTGACTATCTTCTCAGTCACGCCGTGGTGTCGAAGAAGCCTCCATAGTGTTTTCCTGTCCACACTATCGAATGCTATCTCGTAGTCGATGAAGTTGTTCTATAGTGGTGAGTTCCGTTCAATTGATTGTTCCACAATAATCCGTAATGTAGCAATTTGGCCAGCACACGATCGATCCTTACGAAATCCAGCCTGTTGGTCTCGAAGTTTGGCGTCTACGAAGTCCTTCATTATGTTTAACAATACGCTGTTGAAGACTTTGCCTGGTATTGAGAGAAGAGTGATGCCTCTGTAGTTCTCACTCTTTCTGAGATCGCCTTCCATTGGTATTTTGATGAGGTATCCTTCTTTTCAGTCTGAAGGTGTTGATTGCCCCTGCTGGAATGTTGTCTGGTCCTGCTACTTTGCCGCTCTTGATTTGTCTGATGGCCATACTGGTCTCCTCGATTGTAGGTGCGCCAATACTAATTGGGAGGTCCTTGGATGTTGTTTCAATGTTGGGTGTGTTCAGTGGAGCTGGTCGACTCAGGAGTTCCTCAGAGTGCTCTACCCAACTATTTTGCTGTTCTTCAGTGTTGCTGATTACATTGCCTTCCTTGCTTTTGTCTCGTCGTTCTGCTTTACAATAGTTTCCGGTGAGCTTCTTTGTTGTTTCGTACAATTGTCTCAACTTTCCTTCTCTTGCAGCCTTTTCCGCCTTCGTTGATAGATCTTCCACATATTTTCGTTTGTCAGCTATTATACTCTTCTTCACTTCCCTGTTTGCTTCTGTGTATGCAGCTTGTGCGGTAACTTTCTCTGCATCTGTTCGGCTGACGTTGATTATTGCCGTTTCGTTCCTTCTTTCTTCAGTTTTTTCTAGAGTAACATCAGAGATCCATTCCTTGTGATGGTACATCCTGCGACCTAGAACTTCTTGACATGTTGAAGTGATTGCCTCCTTGATACCTTTCCAACTGTTCTCCAATGTTGATTATTCTCCATTGAGTAGATTGTGAAATGCCTGGAACCTATTGCTGAGGCGTATCTTGAATTCGTTGAGCTTTTCAGTATCTCGACGAAAAGCCGTAATAAACTTTTGTGCTGGTGTCCGTCCTGTTGTCCAGTGTTTTCTGAGTTTCAGTTTCATTTTGGCGACAAGCAAGTGGTGATCTGAGGTTAAATCAGTTTCTCTCTTGGTTCTCACGTCCTCCATGGTCCTTCTGAACTATTTATTAATGCAGATATGATCGGTTCGGTTTTGTACAGTGTGATCCAGTGAAATCTACGCAGCTTTGTGTATGCGTTTATGTGGGAATATTGTGCGACCGATGACCAGTTTGTTGAAGGTACATAGGTTCGCGAATCTCATCGTTTTCATTCCTTTCTCCCAGTCCATGTTGTCCCACGATGTCTTCATATCCAGTGTTATCCATGCTAACCTTGGCATTTAAGTCTCCCATTAGAATCGCAAATCCTTTGGTGAGCATCTGTCGACGATTGACTGCAGCCTTTCGTAGAATTGATCTTTATCGTCGTCATTGTAGTCGTTGGTACGTGCATAGCATTGGATGACGTTCATTGTAATGTCATCTCTCTTTGTTTTGAAGGAAGTTTTAGTGATCCTTGGTCCATGAGATTCCCATCCTATCAGTGCCTTTTGTGCTTGTTTGAACAGCATCAGTGCAACTGCTTGTGTATGTGAAGCATTTTACTCTTGATGACCAGAGTACAACAGCAGTTCCCCTGGAGCTAGTTTTAGTAGTCCAACCTGCGTCCAATGTGTCTCACTGATTCCAAGCAACTCCAGGTTGTATCTTTTCATTTCTGCAGCAACCTAAAATAGTGTTCCAGTCTCCCACAATGTTCGTACGCTCCATGTACCTAAAAGAATGGTTACTCTGGTTGCCAGAAGAGGCATCGGCCCCGTGACTACCGAGGGAACTCGGCTTTCATCACGTGACGTCATAATTCTTCTTCCAACTACCAGGGCAGAGTTAAATTTGTTTGAATTATTTTTTCTGGTTAGCGTTTTTTTGGCAAGTTAGTTTTTGACGGAATGGGGTCGCCAACCCCATGTCCAACCCTCCTCCTTTATCCGGGCTTGGGGCCGGCAGTAGCCCCTAAGGTTGTACTGGCGGAGTTACTTATGAATGATGAGGGATCTAATTAAGGTAATATTGAACCTTCCACATTTAACAAAGCCAACCTCCAATTGCTTAAAAGGCTTGTTTTTTGTTTATATAGATTATCCTACTTTGATTAAATAGTTCAGGCTAGCAGTCCGGTCTATCTAGTCTACGCGGAAACAGTAAAGCTCAAATATGCCTGAAACTCATAATGTTATGTCAAAGATAATTGTTTCACCTCTTTGGTAAATTTGCGAGATTTTCGTTTTGTTCAAGCACTAGTATCATTTTGTTTCGTTATCTTAATAACATTCAGCAGTCTCCATTAACCCTCTGTACAGATAATTTTTGTTAAAACCACTGGTTATTAATTCGGAAATCAGGTCTAGCGGAAAGCTGTGGGCAGTAGAGTTCAGCCATGTGCACTTAAGCTCCGACGGCAATGGAAGTTAGTTGCTCAAGATTATGAACTAAATGAAGTTTGATAATATGAGCCACAAGATGCCATTTTAGTGGTCTGAAAGTCAGACATTAGTTTTGGGAT